AACTTATAATTTAATATTTATTTATTTATTTATTTATTTGTATATAATTTAATTAATTTAATTATAATAAAATTTTATTTATAAATCTAAGATTTAAAAAATATTAAAACCTTGGACCAGGGCTACACCCGGATCCTAAGAACTAATATTATTAAAACTAAGAATTAAAAAGAATTAAAAACTAAGACCAGGACTACGTCCGGGTCCTAAGAGTTAGTATAAAGCATATATATATAATATCGATATGTCATAACTTATAATACAAATTACTACAAGTTATAATTTAACTATTATTATATAATACCGATAATTTTGCTCTTGCATCGATTCTGATTAATAGTATATATATAATCCGGATAATTTATAGGATTATCCGGTTATCTATCCATTTTATCTATTTTATCCAATTATTATCAGATATCGGATATCCAATGGATAACCAGATAAACGGATTATGGATTGAAACTCTAGCCAACTAAAAAAAAATACTAACTGGACAAATTCGAGTACCACCACCAAACATAAAAAATGTGTTTTTATTGATCTTTTCACCATCCAAAAATCTTTCAGGTTTAAATTGATTTGGATTTTCTCAATCTTTAGAATGTAAATGAATTGCTTGATTATTCATCATAAATAAGGTGTTTGGTGCGAATGTATAAGTTCCGATTGCTTCTTGTTTGTTTGATGCTCAGAGATTTACTGCTATAGCTGGCCAAAATTCTTGAGACTATTTAAAATAAGGATTTTAAAAAATGGTGCACTCTAGCTATATCTCAAAATTTTACTAGGGTAACCCTGTTGCGCAACTAATAAAAAATGATTGTTACACAATTTATCTAATTCTAACCTAAACCCTAACCTAACCCTAACCCTAACTCTAACTAATCATAACTTTACTTAAAATTTGCTATATTTCAAAATTTTACTAGGGTAACCCTGTTGCGTAACTAAGTAAAAATGTTCCTCTCGCAATTTTACCTAACCTTAACCTAAACCCTAACCCTAACTCTAACCCTAACCCTAACTAATATTAACTTAAGAATTTGCTAGGGGGTGCACCATGGTGCATGGTGCACCAAAATATAAATTTCTTAAAATAAATTAAAATTTGAAAATCTTTTAATCATCTATATAAAAAATAAGAATTTTCAAATTATTTACCTTCACTAATAACAGCTTCACAATATTTCATATTATCTAAGTCATTTAATGTAATTTCCTTATTAACATTTTTGCCTAATATTGATTCGATTTCTTTAACAATTTTCTGTTGAACTTTGGAATATTTTACGATATAATAAATCACATAGAACATAGTATTTGATGTCTAATATATATATATATATAGAATAGGATTGATTAATTGATGAAAATTAAAAAATTAATGGTAACATAATCTCAATTTTACCGTAAAGGATCCGCCAGCAAGAATTTCTGTCATAAAAGCTCTAACTTCTTCATCAGACATAGGTGATTGATGTTTTCATCATTAATACCTTTAGTGACATCCTGCTTCGTATTTATTGTCAATAATTGTGTTAAAAAATCTTGAGATGATTCTTCTTTCACATCACTATTTTCTATTTGTTCTCTGCGCTTTTTAACTATCTCCAAGACCAATGAGTCTAACGATTTCTTTGCTCCTAATAACATATTAGCAATTGCTTTGTTTTGTCCCGGCTTATTTCTCCAAATGTTGGTGCAAGTGAATAGAAGTGAATAGCATGAAAGAACATTTTAACACCTCCAATAAGTTTCTCTGTTAATGGAGGTTGTGTATTAGGTTTTAAAGAATTATAATAATCAGCAATCGAATTAAATCGCTTGTTGGTTGTCAAGTACATAATATTTTCAAATGCAAATCTAACTATCCATTCTGAAAGATCAATTATAGGTTCATCAATTTCTTTCCAATATTTTTTAATTTCAACAAAAATAGATTGAGAAGACTCTACAATCTTTTGACGAGATTGTGGTGTCTTTAAAATTTTAGAGTAAAATCTACGATGATAATTCCAATCATCATATATATAATTGAAAATAATGTCTTTATCCATAATTTCAAGTGTTTTAACACCTTCATTTATAGGAGTTCGAAATCGAAAAGTATTGATTTTCGTGGGACTCATAATCTTTTCAACAAGATCTGTCCTGCATAGTCCTATCGCTCGGATAGACCCTAAATAAACTTCAAATATGTCACCATACTTTGCTTGTAGTTCCTGTGCCCATACTCCGGCATCTCCAGGATATAAATGTATCGATCTATGTTTATTGAGGAAAATGCAAAATGATTTATGATTAAGTAAGCATTTTATATCGAAAGGAATATTTTTGAGTATTACCCTAAAATCGGTAATGGAATTGGACCAGGTAAACCAGTGTTGGCATTGTACATATGTCCATCTAATTTTAACATGATTGGACTGGACTGGACATTGGACATATACTTGGACATAGTCCAGGTCCAATATGTCCAATTATTTTTAAAATAAAAATTATTTATTATATAAGTTACAATAATTCTAGATAAATCTATGTAATAAAAGAATTTAAAATTAATTCTGAATCAGCATAGTTGCAATAGAATTATATATAAACCTAAGCAATGCAATAAAAGAATTCTATTTAATATGTAACCTTAGAATTAACAATTATTATAACCGAAGCTATAATATAATGCTTCGATTCTATTTTTGACAGATCGGATTGAAACTGCATTGGATTATATTTAAAGCCAGCTATTAAGCATATTCTTAGATTCATTATTCAAGTTCTTTGACCAATCAATAGTGGTATTAATATAGTTTGATTAAAAGTTAAAAGATGAGTTGCATTTATTATGTCCATATCAAAGCATCGATTATTTGCTTTAAAAGCCTCGAGTATTAAAAATAAAGTACTGGTAGCTATTTTTTTTGATTAGTAAAAAATTTTTTAAGGTTTATTGTATATTATATAAAAAAAAGTAAAAATAATGCATTAGTAGTGACTAGAGTTGTTGGTGAAACTGGTGAAACTGGTGAAACTTGGTGAAACTTGGTGAAACTGGTGACTATCTAAAATATGATTGGCTGGTGAATGCAATAGCTAATCAGATTTTAGATAGTCACCAGTTTCACCAGCGTGATTTAGTTTCACCAACAAGTCTAGTAGTGACCTTTATCAATAATAAATTTTTTTAAAAAAATGGTCTGCGAAATATCAGCCACTTGGTTAATTTATTCAATCTTCAACTATTAAAAATTTGTCTCCGATCTATTGGGTGAGGTACTTGAGACATCCTTAGTTTACTAAAAGATTATTACCAATATCCTTATTATATGTCTAAATAACTTATCTATAGTACGTACATAATGTAATATTATTTTGATTTTAGCTTTTATAGTTAATTTTTATACTGTTAAATTATTTGAATTTTATACATGCATCAAAAGTATATGGGGTGGGTCAATAGAAATCAAGCAAATTTTTTATAATATAAATTTTTTATAACTTTAAACAAGAATAACTTAATGAAATCTTGACAATTTAACATTAAATTTAATTAAGTTTTTGTTAAGTTATCCTTGTTTAAAGTTTTTAAAAACCTTATTAAAAAATTTTGCATGGTTTCTATTGACTCAACCCCATTTGTAGTACAAAATTTATAATCTGATTGGCCAATTGTCACATGATTATGTATCAACTTAGTGTTACATAATGTCCAATGTCTAACCCCTACTGGTCCAATGGATTGGACTGGACTGGACATGGGCGGTCCAATGGACATGTCCAATGTCCAGCCCAATACTGGTAATAGTGTAATACATGTTACTATATATGTATATATATGTTCTGTAATGCCGAGATCAATTACTTTTCGAATTCGACCGAATCATAATTAGCAAATTTTTTTAGGGTGCCCAGAATTTATGAAAATAGCAGTAAATCTTAAAAAATTTTTACCACTGTGCAATTACAATTCATTGTCATATCATTGAGCTTCGCTTAAATCTTCAATACTATATTTCTTTCCTACTTATTATTCTCATACATGTTATCTATCTTCTATACTGAGATAGTTTTAGAACATAAATCCGTCAACCATTCCAATTAATTAACCCATGGCGCCTACCAGGAAGCATTAGCGGAAATAAGAAAAACGTTGTCCAAAGAAATCGCTAATATTTGATTGCGGATGAACATGATTCATTCATTTATTACCAATATTGTTAGTTGCCAGGTCTTAAAAATCGATCGAACAAATTGTTGCTAGCTTAATAACGCTAAATAATACGTAAAACATTGCATATTTTGAGACATTAAGTGTGCTTCATACGAATCATACACATGATGTGTATTATGTGTATGTTGCACATTACTTAAGTTCACATATTGGTATGCCTAATCTAGAATTATCTTTGAATATCATAGAATTCTAGAAATTTGAATCACATTTATATAACGATATCTGATATTACGTAGTTACTGAATTTTATAACGTAAATATGATTACGATTAAGATAAGCAAACCTAGATAATCAATTCTATTTTTATTAAGAGCCGATTTCCTAAAAAATCTGTTGACTTAGCCCGTGAAGCCAACTAAAGGTATTCTCATGTAGCATATTAGCTAATGATTGTGGTTATGCATAATCATTTAAATCTCATTACAAATAAAAAGGACGATAATATTGCATTTGAAGCATTCTCATTTTCATTTATCTTTCTCAATACGATTAACTTGTATTGTGTTTGTGCACAAGTATTACAATAAATAAAACATTAGCACCGCTTGACGCTTTAATGAATATTTTTATTATTGGTATTTGTCTATTGTTACTATTAAAAGTTTATGTTTTTCACAAAGTGGAATAACAATGAAAATACAAAAATGGTAATTAACAAATTAAACCTCCTCTTCAAATATTGGTAATCCCATTGGTGCTAATTACACTTCTATAATGCATTAACTATTTTTGTGTCAATATTTATTCAATTGAATATTAAACACATTTGGTTTGTTAAGCCGTTTTTTATCGTAAGCGCTTTATGTAGTAAACTCGATTTTTTTTTTTTAAAAAAAAAAAAATAAAGATAAATTAAATAATACTCAAGGTTAATGATGGGACTAACGATGCTAAAAATAGGTGATTATTAATTGTCGCATTCAATAATTTATTAAGAATCAAATTCTTTTTGATATATCACGGGTGGGTAATCGAATATTTAGCATCTGTAGCCTCATCACTACTCAGGGTATTAATTAAGTAGTTGGCCATATAACAGGATCATTGATTCGGATTATGATGTAATATAAAGTGACTTTATCAAATTTATCAATAAAGTCATAAACTTTATGATTTTTAATAAATTATATCGGATTTTTGTCAATGAAATACCAGGAGTATTGTATATGGTATACTATCCTCCTTGTATATAGTTACCTCCTAAATAATCACATCATAGTAAAACCTTTTTTAAATCACGCCAAGGCCTGCAACACTTTACTAATAAACTTATAAAAAGACATTTCTTTATAAGCACATCATAGTAAAACCTTTATATAATCTCAAAATTTGCATGATACGGACTGCGTGATTATAGAGGAGGACGCAGTACTAACATCTAGAAAATCTAGAATGGTGAAAGCAAATTTTTACATTTGATTGAATAGTGATTATATACCGATACAGGAAGATTTCACGGTATAACTAGAGATGGGATTCATGCGTGCGCATGATTCCTCAATCGTGTGCATTAATGCGCATGATTCGGAATTATGCGCATTTTATCCCATCTAAATTTTATATAGGAAAAATAAAGTATATTTAATTTAGGCCAAGGTGTATAATGCCAGGCAAAATTAAGAAATAGGAATGCAGAAATTTCAAAAAATTCCGAAAAGAAAATGAATGAACATAAAGATAAGAAGGGTCGGGAAAAATTTTTGGCAAATTTCCGGAGGGAAAATATAAAATTAAAAAAAGATTATATCATGCGATATTATGCGCATTTTATATAACGTGCGCATTAATGCGCATGTTATTATAAAATGCGCATTTCCCCCATATCTAGGTATAATAACAACATGAATGTGTATGTATCCAAAAGTCATACCTTTTGATTATCAGACTTGGATTAAATGATATCATACGGGCGAAAATTTTCAATGTAATGTTGTGCTTATTAAAATTCGAATCACCAACATCACAAATTCCGCCCATATCTGGGTTGTTTTTTTGTTACTTTACTCATGAACAGCGTATAAAAATTGATAAGTAACTGATAATAACTCATAAGCAATTCATAATAATTTTAACAATCACTGGCAAATAATCACTTTTAACCTTAGTAATCACATTATATCATATATATTATTGACTCAAATTCTATGTTATAAGGTGTATGTAAAATTTTAATGAAAATCAAATGTCTGGGATAACATGCCAATATATTGGGCTTGAAAGGTAGTGTAGCATATTAAATCTAAATATATTTAGTGCAAGCCTTTCAATATAGCAGAGAATTCCTAATTATTTTTTTCTAATAAGAATAATAAAGAAAGTTTTCTTCCTAATTTTATACTAATAAGAGAGATTTTCTTCGATTTCACTTAAAGAAAATAAAGAAAGTAAACTCAGTGTAATACTGAAAAGATCTTTATTCAAGTAAATTAAAAACTTAACTTTCTGTAACTATTAGAGTTAAATCAGTTAAACATATACACTTCCCTTCTTAATAGTTAAAATATATTTGACGCATTTCGACTAAAAATAGTAACTTTTAAGATCATGAAATTTGTAAATTTTTTTGTCCACTAAGAAAGAAAGTGGTTCTAATCTAAAACTAACTAAACCACTAAACTAAATTACTAAAATAACACAATCACTTGTTTCAAGATATCTAAAACTTGAATTGAAAGGCCGAAAAGAGCTGTGGGAAGATTTGGTCCGAGGTTCAAGATCCTTCATTTTTCGTGGTGGCACTAGTGTTGGTGGTAGAATTACTAAATTATGGCATTATAGCATCTTACCATATGGTAGAATTATTATATGCCGTAATGCCGCAATGCCGTAATATCATAATATTATAGCACCTTTGTAGTGTAATAATGTGATCCTGTAATACTATAACATTATAATAATTATAATAATATATGCTTAATCAATAATCTTTATATGCATTATTATAATTTTTATGACTTTAGGCGCTGGACTTTTGTTTTAATAATAAAAAATTACTAAAATTATTAATCAG